ACAGGCACTACATGCCTTGCTCCTGTCAATTTCATCTTCTGCACTTCAACTCTGATATCCTAAAGACCATTTTGTTTCATGAGCCACTATGCTGTCTTCCTGTCTCTTAAGGTTACACATCATTTCAATTTGCATTGCCCACTGCGTCGTCCTGAATTTAAGTTGAGCCCTCTTTGTAAGCCTCTTGATTTTCACTCCATAGGTAAGCACCGGTTACATGCAGTGGCTGTATACCTTCCTTCTGAAGGATAACACTGAGCTGTCGGTCATTTTAGGATGATTGCCGAATGTGCTTCACCTTTTCCTTATTCTTCTAGTTATTTCTCTCTCATGGTTCGGCTTCGTGGTGACTGTCCTTAGTTGACATATTGTTTTACAAATTCGAGTCCCTCGCCACCTACTGTAAAGCGTAACCCTCTATGCGACTCTGGTATATTGCTTCGATTCTATGCGCAATCGTTTTCATACCAACTCTTCTGTTTTCCATATAAATTTTTTCAATGATGAGTTGTAACACGCTCACTAGGTTTGTCATCAATGCCATGTCATCAGCGAATTGCCGGATACTGAAGGCCACTTCATTAACTCGTATTCCTAACTCTTCCAACCTGCGGCACTCAAAACTACCTGTAAGAAAGCGTGAATAGCATTTGAGAGATCTCGTTTCCTTGCCTTACACCCGCGTTTAGCAGGATTATTGTCCCTATCTCTAAGGATAACTATGACAGCTGTACATCCTCGGTATACTTCTTCTTGTAGGATTATATAGGCTTCGTTGACGCTGTGCTTACACAGTGCCTGCATGTCTGCTCAATCTATACCAAATCATGCCTTATAATAATAAATGAAAGCTACGTATAGAGTATATTCGTATTTCACAAATTTCTATATTACCTGATGAGAAGTATACATATGGTCGATTGTTAGGCAGCCAGTAGGTAATTCTGCTTGGTCCTTTCATTGGTTGAACTGTAATGTCGTCTAAATTTTATCCCTAATAATTTTGTAAATAACTTGTCGAGTGTGGACAGTAAGCTAATCGGCCGTGAACTTTTTAAATACTTGATGTCCCCTTTTTTCTTACGAACTCTCATTTTTTCCTACAATCTGTTCTTCTATTCGTCAAGAGACACGGCGTATACGGTGTCCACTCCACCATTCGTCAACATATCTCATGTTAGCTGATCCTCAACAGCGGTTTAAACATTGTTTTCGAGGTTATATATACCGATTTCATCAGTTGTCGTTAGTGATGGGATATCCTATTCCTTCGGGCTACTACTGCTTCTTACTGTATTGCCCTCGTTGTCTAAGCAGCTGGACAGATTATTCTAGGAGTACTGCAACACTTTAACCCGCCTAATATTATCACTACTGATTTTGCATTTCGTGTTCTTAGGATATACATTTGGTTTTCCCCTATATCCTTTTCTCACTTTAAAGCTTTGAGACTTCCTCCTTTCTTACGAACATGCTCAGTTCTGCCTATGTTGCCCTTCTTCATGCCAGCTACCTGACTCCGATTATCTTCAAAAGCTCTGCAACTTCTATTTTGTCAGATTTGTTTGGGGCTTTTATGGTTTGATATTTATAATGAGGTCCCTAATCTCATAGAAAACTTGCTAATTTCTTGTCTAATGGCTGTACCCCTGAGTATCATTCCACACTCCCTATTGCTACTTGTCAGGTAAGCTCTCATTGCACCAAGGCTATAAGGTGAGTTTTTTGGTTGACCCGCTTATCTAGTCTGAAGCAATACTTTGAATTATTGTTCTTTCACTCTCAGCGCTGGCTCTTTAAGTGGCTTCTTGCTTATCAGTTTCTTCAATTACTTCCTCACGTCTAGGTGTTTTGAGATTTGATTGATTGATATGTGGGGTTAAAGTCCGAAAACCATCATATGATTATGAGCGACGTTGAAGTGAAGCTCTCCGGAAGTTTCGACCACTTGCGGTTCTTTACCAAGCACCCAAATATTAGCACATGAACCCACAACATGATCACCTCTATGGAAAATGCAGCGGTCGCGGCCGGAATTTGTTCCCGTGACCTGCGAATCAGCAGCCGAGTACCATAGTCGCTAGACCACCATGGCGGGGCATGTAATTTTGAGGCCTTATCTCACTGTGGTCACTGCATCGGAACTGGCCCAGTTCCAAATCCTGTAAGATGCCCACATGTGCACATAGCATATTTATAAGCACTCACTAAGTGATGATACAGCCGTGATCATCATTTAGTGCTACTCTTTCATGATGACATTGAATCAGCAGTGAGCAAAGTGAAGGCAAAGTATACTGTACCGATAGGCGACTTTAACGCGACTGTAAGCAAGAAGCTGACTGGAAACTACTCAGTAAAGGCACGGGTTCTAAATGTGCCAGAGGGTAGTAAGAAGTTCACTGAATGCAATTACTACTAGAACTTAGATTTGTTCTACTGAAAATGGTGAACAGTAAGTGGACGTGGAGGAGCCTTAACGGTGGAACTAAGAATGATATTAGAGTTCATACTGTGTCCAAACTCACACAGTGGTTTAAAAGGAATATTAGTCATAGCAAATGTAGTACGTGAAGTGACCGTATGAACCTCATGAGAGGTAAAAACTTCAGAGTGGCCATGAGTGAACAGTTAGGGAGCACTTTTTCGTTATTCCGTTCATACGCATTGCATGAGCCTTTATTATATAAGTAATGTATAAAAATGACACAAGGATGCTTACACTGGGCAATATTTTTCCACACAGTGCTTAACTACATGAAAATTTTAAAAATGCATTCGTTCATGAAGCAATTGAGGACAATTTTGCCCAAAATATTGCTAATTTCTGGTCCTTCAAAAATGATGAGTCAGCGAGATTGATTTTATATACGATGATGACCACTATAATGTAAAATCACTTCAGTAGAGACCAACAAGCGAAATTAGAACGAAGATTTGCAGAAAGTAGTTTGTGGGTCACCTAAACAATATAAAAGAGATTGGTGCCTCAGAACTCCACCATCAGACATTCCCAGCTATGAATAGCGTATTAGAAGGCACAGCTGCGGGAACTGAACACAGTAGATAAATAACCGAAAGCTATAAATCTAGTGATTCAATGAGGAATATTCGGTACGGCATAAACTTTAGCAAAGACTCCTAAAGATAGCGCTGCCTCCAATGATTACTGGAAATATATTTTATAATGCATCTGATTACGAAAATCAAGGATTGAGAAATGATCTAACATAAACTGCAGTGACTGTGTTTTTGTAATAAATCCCCAACGGTCAAGATGTCTTTGCGCAATTGATCGATTTATTTTGGCAAAATCAAGACTTGCTAATAGGCAGCTGGCTGGGTCGTTTCATAGAGCATGTGATTGCGAATTTCTTATGCATAACAAAACAGCAAAAGTATGTTAATTTTGTTCATAGCATCTTGCCGGTGGCGAATTGCTTTTCTGGAAAGAAAACTGTGAGCTTTGTACATGCATAAAAATACGCAGAGGCTATAAGCAAACTCTTTGAACAAGTTAATAAAATGGTGGTTCCTATAACCGTTCCAAGACCCAGTTCGCACTTGTCGACACACAGGCATACTCCAACCCACATGCCCTGTTGCGGGCCTCTAATATCGAGCAAGGTGGGTGTAAAAACACTGCTAACAAAACGCTTCTGCAGCGACAAGGACAAGTCTTGACGACAAGGTGCTTTATTTACCATCCTTGTTGCACGCTCTCTCATAAATAGAGTACTTTTTCTCATTTTTCACGTTGCCTAAAAAAATCAGGAACATTTATTTTAAAGTGGCATACTTCACGCTTTCTCAATTGATGCTGTCAAAGAATCCACTACTTTTTGCTGGAAAGTAAGGAAGCAGGGAAAAATAAAATTGACATTACCAGTAGCCATTTCCGAATACCAAGGATTTGGTACCTGGTGCGTTTAGGGCATATTTACTTTTGTAGGAAAACTGCAGAATGACAGAGCGAGTGCAACTTTAGGACTTGCATTGGACTTACCATGTGCTCGTCACAAAAGGAGGGCTTCAAGCCAAGGCATGCTTACGGTTCCTCAAAAGGAGGCGGAATTACATCACATCGACCCCCTCCTCTTCACCGTTAGTGACATACAAAACATAATACGCTCCAGAGTGCACGAAACAATGAAAGCGTAGATGTCAATTAGTCGTTAAAGTTAAGATTTAGACCGTTGTCAGAATCTAACACCAGTGGTTTTCATTGCCATACCATGCACACATTTCCTGTGTCATTTATATTAGACTCATGAACAGCTGTGCAGTTTGCGTGGTTTAGAAATAATAACATATTGTAAGAATTTCACATAACCTTGACACTCGAACACCCTACCACAAGCATGCACTCATCCACCCGAGTAACACACATGACAGGCAGCGCTCACTACCAACTGTTTATTGCTCCGATATGACCTTATTATATATGCACAAATGAATGTGCAAGGGAATATTTAAAAGAGCTGCGCCTGTAGAAAGCCAACAGCACATGAGGTATAATGCACCGCCATGCAATAAGGAACACGTAAAAAAAAGGTGAACACTAAAGGCAGATAAACTAGCTAGAATCACTAAATTGTTGCCTCGATAAGAGATATCTCCTGTTGACAAAACACCAAGGACGCCTCGCTGACACAGATATCCTTATTTTTTTCAACAAAATATGCTCCCAACAGCAGGCGTGCAGATAAATTCAAAGTTCTTCCAAGAGCCTTCGTACCAGAAAATTGTGGTTCACACACACGATTCTTTGATATATAAGAAGGTCATATCGGAGCAATAAACAGTTGGTAGTGAGTGCTGCCTGTCATGTGTGTGTTACTCGGGTGGATGTGTGAGTGCCTGTGTTAGTGTTTGTGAGAGTCAAGGTTGCGCTAAATTCTTACAATATGACAAATATCCAGCTAGCCCAACAAGAAGTTTTATTGAGCTAGAAATGATATGTGTGCTTGACCTCCAGTCAACTTCTTTTCACCAGGGTCTTTTCTGTATGAGTCCTGCCCCAGGGTTCATATCCACACCGGAATTCTTGAATTTAGACGAAGCGAGACTTCTCGGAGGAGCCCGTTGAAAAGCCTCGCGACACAGTGCTCGCCCTGATTTACACCTCTGGAAGCACTGGCTTGCCGAAGGGAACAGAGATCACGCATTACAACTACGTGACTGCCTTCTACTGTTCAACGTAAGAAACATATTGTTCTTTATTGACAATAACAACGCTTGTCTGCATTCACACAGTGGTGCACTTACGTAAAGTACCTGTGCAAATTGTTATTTCACTTGGAAGAAGCATTAGTCTTTGTGTAAGAAATGCAGTGACAAAAGGCAAAGTCTTAATCTGTCTCACAGGGATGCTCACACAGTGACAAGGAGAAATCACTGCTGGCCAAGAAAGGACACAATGCGCGTTGCGTTCTCCTGTAATTAGACAGTGTCATTAAATAACATGATTTCGATTCGATTTGTGGGGCTTAACATCCCAAAGCCACCTTATGAATATGAAAGATGTCGTAGTGGAGGACTCTGGAAATTTTGACCACCTGTGGTTCTTTAACGTGCACCCAAATCTGAGCACACGGGCCTACAACATTTAGCGCCTCCGTCGGAACTGCTGCCGCCGCAGCCGGAATTCAATCCCACGTATTTATTAACACGCTGCGAGTAGATGACCTAAGCCCTCATACTCTTGTGACTGCCATATCATCAATTTTTTTATGCGGCGCTCACCATTCACTGCAACAGCTAGCACCGGCATATATGACCACAGAGAATGTTTATTAATTAACCAATGAATTATTATGGGCGCTAGTCGTTGCAATGGAGGTGTATCACTAAGCATTGACCTGGATGCAATTACATTAAACTATGCTTTAGCTGTTAAATACAAACAAACATTGTATAAGCTTACCTATATCGGTGTAGAATAAACTTTACCTACTTTTATGAGTAGATGTTTTACTTTCGTGTTATGTGGATTTCTATGACAGCGAGATCAGCCATGTTTTTTTTTCTTTCTTTTTCCTCCGTTAGCATGTTATCCATTAAACAATGTGTTAAGCGTAAAACAGTACGCTAAACAATAATGAGTAAATGTCAATATTTGTAAACTGAAGCAGGATTCAGGATAGAAAAACTGCGAAAGCAAGAAAATAGGACTGTGTTCATGGACGCTTCCACGCTCGTGGTACGTAACTCCCCAATATAAAGCATCCGGGATACCCCAAGCGTGTTTTTGTTCATTTGAAATTCTCGTATCTTTTACCTCTTAAATATATAATTTTTTTCATCGGAGACTGCAGCGCCTACAATTGCAACTTAGACGATTCTTGTGTCTCAGTATTAAGGCAACTCTGTACTGCTCAAATCTGGTAATTTTCTGTCCTAGTCAATTGTAAAAACGTAATATATTGAATTCGGTGTATTTTGTCATTTTATTTTGCAGGCGACACCTACCTTGGTCAAGTTCAGACATATTACTTGCATCTTGTCCTATTACTCACCAATCAGGTATGATGTTTACCATGTTGGGTGCTCTGGGTGGTACGATAAGCGTCATAACGCCATCCACATTGACGCCCTTGGAGTTTATGGACACCAGTCATGAATACAAGGTTTGTTCTGACAACCTCTCATTCTAAAATTATCTTGAATATTTTTGTTGATTTCAAGAACATGCACAAATTTATTGATACGAGAAGTACGGGCGTAGCACCGTATGGTCTCGGCAAGTCGGCATGCCATGTAGTCCTCAAACTCCATTAGGAAGAAGTATGCACAGAACGAAGGGAGTTAATCCCTCTACTTCAATCTGGTTTACAAATGCACTATATGTGTTAGAAATTCGTCGTTATCACGAAATCGATTATACTTCGCTGAGGGACCGTGCCAGAATTCTCGACAAAGTTTACCAAGGTGATCGAGTGTTTTAACCACCAGAGATAAAAACGTGCGTCTTTACGGTAATGTAATCTATTTGAAACCCTACCACTTTAAACACATCTTGAAATTGGCACTTTGTTAAGGCATTGATGTATAGCTGAGGGAAGCAGTGTTACATGCTGCCTAACATCGTTTAAAAAATATATGCTTCATGCGAGGCCCCTCCTCTAGTTTTACATTAGTGCAGCTGAAACATTTTTTTCTCTCTCACTTCGTGCTGCTCTCTCCTAAAATTTCCTTAATTTTATTGACATTTTTTATATTCTTTACTTGTGTCTTCCTAATTTTTTTGTATCTCTCTTTGTTTTCTACGTGCCCATCTCTCTCTGCACAATTATCGCTTCGACTTTTTATGATTTCTTTTATCTCTTTCTCATTCGTATGTTATTTATATTATTCTTTCTTTTGTTATTTTGCTCCGGTTTTATATCTCTTTTTTGTCTCAGACCTTGCTTTCAGGTCTTAGATGATGTCTCAGACCTTCTCTTCAAGCGTGGTATAATCATCAAAAACAAGTACATTGAAACATTAGTCGACGTAGCTTCATATGCAGCATTCCACATGAAGCAGTATGGAAAGAAAAAAAAACCCGAAGATTTAGAAGTCTAGAGTTGATGAAGAAGATATAACTAAAAATATAGAAATAAGGTAAATTCAAAAAATAATGACGGACGACACCCGCCGTTCATAGGTTATCAATGGGGCTGTATTTTGACTTAGGACCACTGCCCAATTTTCGTACAGCTGAAGGTGGACATGCGGATCGAGTTATTCGTTGTACAGACTTGATAGGAACATGTTGTCTTGACGGGTGTTCAACTTCAAGGAGCGCGCAGAACGAACATTTCTCGTCATGTTAGTGCTACAGCTTTGACGAAGAAGTAGATGAAGGAAACTGTCTTGAGCCACAAAAAGCTTCTGCAGCAGTATCCCTGGGTGGGCCCACCATCCCAGTTTTGCCAGATACGGCTTACGTAACCGGGCTAAGGTTCCGAAATGCTTGCCTGCAATTGGGCAAAGGTAATTTGGATAATTTCAAAGATTTTGAGCATTTGACCTATTGCTGGAATAAACAGTGGTGTGTATCTCACCAGTTAGAGGTCAATTATACCAGATTGCGCTGTGCAGTTCCACAAATAAATTATTACCTTAATAAAGCTTGGCTCAAGGCGTCACCGCTATGCATTTGGTGCGAAGAAATTGAAACAATTGAACATTTCTTTTTATTCTGCCATCGTTATTCTTCTTAGAGAAAAAGATATTTAGTAACCCCATTACAAAAGCTAGGAATACAAGTAACTCTACCAGTAATTTTATCACTTGGCGGAACTTCATTTGGTTACTGCCACAGGAATATATGCTCCGCTGTGTTTGATTACATCAACGCAACTAAAAGATTACCATGCTAGTGAGCCCCTACCTTTTCAGATCTTTAGTTTATAATTCGTAGTTATGTCTTTCAAAAACAAAATATGGTTTGACCGCTTGCTCAGCAAACATTTTTGCTTTTTGGTAGTATTATTTTAAGCTACTTTTTCAGAGTGGCTTAATTTTCAATTTAGTTTCATTTAAGTATCCTGCCGCCCGGTTCTTGGCCCATCCCCCTTTTTGGGTAAGCGCCATCCATCCGAGGTCATCAGTATCAGGATCAAGCTTCTGCAGTTTCTCGCACCTGCACTTCACATGGAATAATAAATGGTGTCCCACGCGTAAATTGGAAGTCTTGATAACAAAATTCCGTTTCCGTGTACCACCTCTGAATTTCTACCTTAAACAGGTCTGGTGTGGTGCCATCCCCTCTGTGCTCAAGCTGTAATGAACCTGAACATATCGACCATTTTCTTATCACACGTCATCGTTTCAAAATCAAGAAAAAAACTGCTTCGAAATTTTATTTAGAAAATTAGGAATATCACCTAATACTCCCAATAATTTGTCTTTTGGGGCCACTTCAATGGCACACAGCGACAGGAACATCTGCGGGGCTCTCTGCGAATTCATATATAACACAAGAAGATTACCTTGCTGAGTCAGCGATCAGCTCTGGATTTTTACTAGCCACGCTACCACTTATTATTTAGCTGATACACTGCAATGATTCAACTTTCAGGAGACATTTCATAAAATGGTTCCACCTCAGATATTCAACAAATTCTATCATTGCTCTCTCCCTTTTTTTTCTTTTTTTCTTTTTTTACGTTGCGCCAAGTTAATTTCACAGTCAAAACACAGTAATCATATTCCCCTAGTCTAGAAAATCTATAGGTATTGACTTGCATTAACCACCGGCTTCTTGGCCGACCCCCCTTAGTGGGTGAGAGCCACAAAAGAAAGGAACAAGCAAGCAAGCAAGCAAGTTGCAATCTAATAAGGCGGTTCTGTGTCTACAGACACAAGAACAACTTGTACTTCAACCTACGCCATGTTTACGAACTCTCTAAAGAGACTGCTACAAGCAAAGTGAGCCAGTTCATAGACACAATTGAACAGCAACGACAGATGACAGAATAGTCACCTAATAAAAATGCTCATTGATACACTGAACGGAGCTCAATCAAAGCAACGAATAGTGGAGCAGGATATTTTTGTAGAAAGTGCCAAAAGCCATCAAGAATGAATGCTTCCTAATGAATACGCATCGCTAAAGAATAAGTGGTTATCAGATGACGATAAAACCTAAAACTTGCATAGCGATCTTGATGTCACTACGAAAAAGTGGTAAGACTGGCAGCTTCTTGACAAGACACCATTGTGTTGGAAGCGATGCATACCGAGCTTTCCTGCTGCATTTGAAGGAAGTGCTACGCAAAGATGGGATGAGCGCAAATCTGAATCTCCCTAGAATATTGCCGAAATGTCACCTGCTACACCTAGTGGAGCATGATCAATCCTCGCAGACTGTCTAAGACCTAGTGTTGCCGGCGTTACATAAAATGATTCGAAGAGAAGTTGCGTTGACATCTTCAAGGACCCGAGAACAGTTTCTGTATTGAATGAAACATTTGTTCTCGAGAGAAGAAACAAGGTGGGCCACCATGAGAAGGAATGCCTCTCTGTAATAGTCATGACGGGCGCAACATCAACACTTCCTGACAACTCACTGTGCACGTATGCACAGACATCCCATGTGAATGTGTCAGTTTCAAAGTGGACAACGTGTAATTACCTACAACTCTCTGCATCACTCAGATCTGCACAATTTCCAATTCCAACCTAAAGAGAAAGATCCAAATCACATCAATAGCAGCCACGAGATCACGTATTTGACATCATTGTGCCTGCTCTGTAAAGTTTGTAAAACTGATTGAGTCTAAATAAAGGTACTGTTGCGTACTGGAACTTGTACGTTTATTATTAACAGAGAGCGTTTTCATGGTGTTATAGCTATCTTAGTACAAAAAAGTTATGTCTCTGTGAGCTCACATAATAAGTGGGCGTACCTAGTCAGTGAATCCCAAGGTCGTTTTGTCACCCACTGTGTGTTAGCAATGTCAAATGTCACATAGGACCTTGTGTTATCTCATGTTGACTGGTTCAAGCATTACCCGTTACTGCAATGAAAAAGTGCTCGTAATATCTAAACACCAAGGAAAAGCACTCATCTAACACCTAGCCCATTAGCAGTCGAAAACTGGATGCGAAAATCACCAGATGATATGTCAAGAGTAAAAAAAGACATGGCTCAAAAACCACACATTCGAATTCACCGAATTTGCCGAATAGCAATAGTGCACCACCTGCCGAGTGAACAATCAACTACGGGGATAGCACTAGATGGATGCCCTGTTCCATGGATGTTTTGGGCCACTCGCAACTTCAGTGCACCCATGAAGAGTTAGATTCTTTTGTTTTGCCCGTTTTAACACTCGTTGCAATTCTGACGAGAATGGCAACTTTATCCAAAGGCGTTCATGATTTGCCTAGCAAAGGAATCTAGGCACAGGAACTCGGTACCTACCAAAAATCTGAAATCACTTCCTATGTTAATCCTCAAGCCATCCTTTAGGAACCTGTCCTTGTCCTTGGGTGGCGTTTGTCGTATAGGACGAGGTGGTTGCACTCCAATCCAATGAGCATTTTCACTTAGTGCATGTTACTTCACTTTGACAAGACGAGCCAGTCATACTTGGCCGGTAATTTTTTCATTTCCTCAGCTAGCGCTCCAATTGCGAGCCGATCCGGCGGCAGACGCCTGTCAAATTTGGTACGAGAGTGATCAGCACGAACAGGTCCTTTGCGCGGATCCTGCCGATGCCAAATCGAATGTAGTGCACTTTCGGCGGCCGGGATTCTCAATGTACACGAGCCATAAAGGTGTGGACCGTGCTACAGATGATGCTGAAGCGTGACATTGCGCGGCTAAAAAATGCTCCGCATTTAAAAGCGTTCGGCGTATATGAAACGCTGGTGCTCGTGATGATGGAAGCCCACTGTACACTCCTACATAAACCAACATATAGCATGGCGTCTAACTGCTATTGACATTAACCCGACGTGATGGCTTTATTACAGGAGTACATACGTATTGTTCATAAAATTGGATGGCCAGCACTGGGTGATTCCACGAGAGATTGACACGGGTAGAAAAGCTGATATTTTAGATTGGATTGTTTATTTTATATTTTGTGCACATACCACCAAGTAGCCTGAAAGTGAACCTCGCTTTTTTATT